GTGGCAGATTAACAGCAGTGACTTGTATGCTCGTCTGAGCACGCTGAACAGCCTCTCTCCATGGTAGAGCTTCTAACTCCGAAATCCACAAGATGGAGCCAGCAGTTCTCAAGAACAGGTGCCTGTACCATCCCAGGAACTGTCAGAACATTTATCTCACAGAACCACATTAAAGTGTTCTAGTTGAGGCAGAACACAGGCAAGCACGGAGGCAGAAGCCAAGCTACATATGAGCAATCATTCTGCAGTTTCATCCTGCTGCAACTTCAGGAAAACCTATTCCTCACAAGCAACCACAGAATATGTGAAGAAAAAGGTGCCATTCTGGGCTTTGGGTACAGCTATGTAACACAGCTGTGCTCAGAACCCTCTCCTGCCTCCTACATGACACTTTCCATGATACCTTTTCTCTGCCAGGGAATATTTTAAGTTACTTTACTGGAAAGGAGAGCTACATAAACCACTGTGGCAAACTGAAACACAGGGCAAACACCAGGCAAACACCATATAAACAAGATTATGTAAATTGCTGTAATCCTTGGCCAGAAGTCATCAGCTAGGAAATGTTCCACTTCCAACTTGTACAGCAGCAGTGGCAGAAACTGCACCCAAAGTTTGCCGTGAATCCCGTTTCTCTGCTACTCCAAGTTAAGTGATATTAGATAGCAGTGAGTGTTGTGAGCTCTCCTGTCCCAGAGAGATCTCAGCTTCTCTGCTGCAGTTTGTTCATCACAAACATCCACAGAGAATGTAGTCTAGCACGCTCAGAAGACTAAGGACCAATTTTTCCACACAATGTCGCTTATTCTGTTGAGAGACAACACTCTGAAGAAAGAGGAAAGCAACTCTGTCATTTACACAGTTAATATGAGCTGTCTGATCCAATTAGGCTGTGGAAAATTAACTGTGAATGAATCAAACTATTATGCCAGTTCAGTCCTGAAAAACATGCATACCATTTCCAGAAAACCAATTATGAGGGTCTCAGTCACCTCTTCCCCTCCCTTCCCACAGTCTGCAATATAATTCTGTTACATATTTGATAGAAAGGTTAGTTCCAGACACAAAGTCAGTGGTTGGCTGGTTCAAGAATTCAGGGATTAGACATGCTTTCAGAATGCTGCAAAAATCAATAACAAACAAATATTGAGCTCATTTTTTTCTTTTTATTATCAATAGTAATACAAATCAGTTGTATTAGCATGATAATGAAAAGTGACCAGTTTTACAGACGTTGAAAATGTTTGTGCAAGTTAGAGACAAAGCTCTGAAGCTATGTAAGGAAAAAAATAAGAATTTACATTATATAGTATAGCATACATAGTTTAGAGGCAGTTTTATTAAATCTTGCAGTCACAATCACTTCCTTTACGCTAAACCTCTCACTTGGTGTTAGAGATAACACCTTTCCCTCCCAAGAGGAACACCTGCCATTTCCATGAAGTGTGGAGATTATGGTGAAAATCATAGCTTTTTTGTTCCTCTTCCCTCCTTCTCCCAACCATAAAGTCAACAGGAGGTGAACATTGCAACATATGCTTATAGCAATTAAGGAAAGCTTCTGTCTACACAAGCTCTGAGTTGAACTGATGAACAGTATTCTCTTTTTGAGCAAGAACTGATAGACCTGTCAGGCCCAAGTACTGGGTTAATGCTTTGGAAAGCCTTAAAAAAGAAGATCTGGGTGAGCATTTAGTTAGATGCATTTCCCCCCAACACCTCTTACCACATTCCAGATTGTAGTTTTGTACCTTAGACCTAAAGTATTCTTAAGCATTCTACTTAAGCCAGAGAGGATTCAACTGGAACTTCAGATGGTTATTAACATCTCACTGAAGTTTAATGCCCAGTAAATGCACACATACATCTTTCTCTTCATCAAGACAAGTGTTCACCCAGAAATTGCAGTAAAGGTATATTAGTCTGTATAGAACACATATGGCACAAGTCATTGAAAACACTCTTCACTTCATGCTGCATCTGTACTCCCACCTGGAGAGATGCTCCTCTAGGAAAAAAAAAAAGAAGTCAAATCTGCCTTTGCACTCCTGAAGTTTAACCTGCTTTTTTCCTATGATGACTTAGCCCTTGTTGTAACAGGGGCTTGTCTCAGATGTTTGTTCTGCTCAAACCAGAAGGAAAACTGGAGCACTTAAATACCCACAGCTAAGCCACATATGGAAGATTGCACGTAGCAGTAAACAGTTCCCTGACTTTATGTTAAGCCATTACGCAAGAATAATACTTGAATGCTTAAGTGCAAGTGCATAGTCAAGTCTTGCATGACCCCCAGCTTCAAATATCCAGTTTCTTGCCTACAGCCATGCTCCAGAATGATTTAAAAGCACATTATACACCAACAAAGAGAAGTCTTGCTCTTTAATTACCCAACATGCAAAGGCTGCTAGAATATATCAGCTTCAATACAGGCTTCAGCTGCTGCAGCTACACAGCATGGCTAGCAGGCAGACACTCACACTCCCTCTTGCCAAAGTCATCCTTACTTGATGCAGTTACTCATTTTGAATAGAAGTGAAAACTCCATTTACTCTGCTCACAGGAACCATTTCTCTGTGCCATTTTATATTCACTCTGCTCAACCCACCTGATGCTGATGTCCATTCATGTCCAGTGATGCACACCCAGAAGCCATTCAAGGACCCTCAAATCATACTGCCCCTACTTAGAAGTCCATAATTCAGGCACTTCCACCATACGAGGCGGAGGCAACAGGATTCCGGTCCAGGGGACCAGTTTTATTGCCTTCCTGGTACAAGTCAGGATGCTTGTTGCCCACTGTTATGAAGTAGGCAATGTAGCTGCCTTGTTTATCGTATTTTCACATGTAACTGAAAAGTTAAACTTAAGTTTGTCACAAGTACAGAAGAGGAATACTGAAAAGCTGCTCTATTTAGTGTCCAGGCCTAGACTTTCTGGAGCAGGTGACAAGCACGTAACACTGAAGAGATGTAGCATCAAGCCATGAGGCAGCAAGCACCTAAGTATGTCCACCTCAGTGGTTTATCAGTTGGAAAAATAAAAGAAAAATAACCTGAGTGAGAACAGCACATGGACTGTAAGAATGCCAGTGGAAGATCTGCTGTTCTGAGAAGAAATTCATCTGTCCTGTCAAATACTGTCAGGTACTTTAAGACTTAAGAGATCAAAGGTCAAGGCATGCAAGTCTCTTGAGCCAATACAGCTGAGCTGCTCATTGTGAGCTTTGCAGACTTCATTTTTCATACGGCAAGGAAAGTTTATTCAGTTTTGCGAGACACATCTTACAATCTGCCTCAGAGGGGCTTGACCTAGATAAGCTTGTAATGTGAACTCAACTGTTGTTTATCCTTTAGGTTAATTAAGGACTTAACCTTTAAGTCTCAACTAAAACCAAACCTAAGTGAGTTGCCTCCCTCCAGAAACAGACATTCATTGGCTGTATGCACAATACACACTCAAAAATGGACTTTTATCCATGGAAGTTCAAGAGGAAACTCAGAAGTGTTACAGCTCCCAGTGTCCTATTAGGTGCTTAGGCTTTAAACACAGGTGCTAAGTTCAAGTGACAAGTACCGCAAGCCAGCAGGATTCCAGCTTCTGCTTCAAAACAGTATTGTCAAGTCAGCTTTGTAATACCACTTAATTACACTCTTCAAAAGAAGTATTTCCAGAACTGGTTAACTATTCTTTCTACCCATACAAGATAACATTAACAAAGAAGGAATTTAATTTGACAAGAATGAAGATTACAGCACCTTTTATTTAGTACAGTTTCCCCAATCCAATGAGTTGCCTGACAAGCTGAACTAGTTATGGAAGACAATGAGTTTGTGGTAAGTCCCTGTGAAACCTCAGGCCAACAGAGGTTCCGATATCTATCGCATCTTACTTTTTCCAAAGTTCAGAGGTGGAATGCACAAAAGCAATCCAGGACATGTTTAAAAATACTTTTCAACCTCAAATTACAACACCAAGTACTGAACAGTATTTGCTACTCCTTCATCTCAGGAAGAAACACCATTTGTTACTTTAGTGTGCTTCATTGAACCACTTAGACTACTTTCACCAAGCAACTGTGTTACAGGTATCCAGTTAACAAGCAGGATATAGTCACTAAGTCTCTGCTCCTTCAAAGCAGAAGACAGCCATAATTCACTGATACCCCACAATCAGAAGAAAGTTACTTTTCCACAGTGACAGAAGTGTTTTTTGGCAACTGCACTTAATTTAAACTGCACCAAAAAGCTCAGTTCAGTCAGCTGACAACAGGATCTGCTAAGTACTGACTTTTCCATCTCCAGACTGTTTTTGAACAAATTGTGACCATCATTGCATAAATGACAGCAAAACTCACCCTGTGCTAGGTTGCTATGCATCAGAAACAGTACACAGTGAGTAACAGATGTGGCAACTGTTTAACTTCATTTGTTTTTTGACACCATAGAACTCAATAGCCAGCTAATCATTGAGAGGTAGCATGTATGCCTCACCCATTCCAAGTCACGATGGTGCGATGGTATCCATCCTTACTTTTCATCTTCAGCAAGACAAGAGACAGATGCAGATGTTCCCACTTCCCAACATTATCATCACAAGTGTTCCAATATAAACAAAACTGATTAAATCAACACTGATTTCCACTATTCCAGTACCAGGGAGGGGAAGGATGATAGATGGAGAGTGTAATTGAGTCTAGACACAATACATGGAAGAAAAACCCAGGACAGCATTTCAAGGAGATGGTGACAATATTATTCCTTTGGGAGAAAGGCTTACCATCATTTTCTCATCCCATACCACTAATTTAAGGATGAGAAGACAGACCAGCAGGGAATGCATTTAGCCAGTATTTCAATATCAATTTCTGCATTGCCTAAATAAGTCTGAATTGAGTCCATAGGCTTGATTCATGAATGCTGTATTGACTAAACAGAAAATGGAAGAAAGTTTGTTTCACGTTGACTCTCAACTGTCAGTTGCTATTTCTTACAAGGAGTGGGGGAGGAAGCCAGCAGATTTCAGTGTAAGAAATACCAGTGACAACTATCAGAAGATGGAGACTTGAACCCTTTACCAGGTGTCATCTAGCCTTTCTGCAGTTTGCACCATCAAGGAGGGCAGCAACAGCGGGAAAAAGTGTTTGAACCTGAACAGCTGTGCTTGTTAAGGCCAGTAGAGGTTCAAGAGAAACATAGAGAAACATTAGAAGGAAGTTAATACAAAAGTACATTGTGTAACCAAGCAGAAGGATTGTAGTTCTGAAACTGTTTCTAGGTTTGAAAGACACTAGGAAGATGGAGCCCATTTCAGTTTAAGTAGGCAAAGGTTTTGTTGGATACCAGAAATGGTTTCAAAGTTCTGTTTTCACATTTTGAAGGCGTGATATGCAAAGCAAAAGATAAGGGAGTCAATACAGACTTCCTTTCATGAATCCAGCCCTATATCCTTAGTGGTATTTTATCCATGCCACCTGTAGATATTTACAGTTCCCAACCATCACAGTAAGCAACATCTTTCTTTAAAGCTTTTCTTGTTCTTGCCACTTTTCTTGCCATTCTTGTCTTTGTTTTCTGACATTTTCTTTGCTCTTATTTCTCTCATTAAATCAAAGAATACCTAGGAGGGGAAAACAAAGAAAGATTAAACAAGATCTGATACCAGAAAGCAGATAAAAACTACAGTATTCAGCAGCAAATAAAGATGCAGCACCACACTGTATCCAATACAGCAGAAGTGAGTCTAGACAGATCCCAGTGACAAACTCAGTATCGGAATTACATGGTATGTCAGGCAGTGGGAAAAAGTTGCACAATCTTACCTGGCTATTAAAAAAATTCAACAGCCCTATTTTAAGAGCTTTTTATTGAATAGCATTCTTGCACAAGAGGAACATTCAGAGCTCATAAGAACATTTTTCTCCGCCAGGCAAACGTTTCCAGGCAAATCACTCATGTTAACTATGTAAAGCATTTAGTCCAGCCCTTTCCATGTAGTTACAGGTACACTCTGCTTGGCAGTATTCTGCCTGCAGTTACAAAGCTGCAGCATTCAAGTGACAGTGTCAGGCACAAAAAAACTTAGATTTTGTTACAAAAAAGATTCAGAGAAATAACGCTTTTTTTTCATGTTTCTGTTTTCTCAAATGTCCTAGCCAATTTCACCCCTGTATGCCTGATGTCTAGGTACAGACCACTTAAGATGCAACAGCTGTTTTGCTGTAGAGTTATTGGGAAATTATTTTTAGGATTACAGAACAAGAGTTTAGTGCCACTCTACAGAATTAGGGTGTTGGGGTTTCTTTCAAACTGGCAACTTTCAAGTCTACGATATTTGGAAACAAGACCATGCTACTGAGCAAAAATAGATTAATCACTCAAAACCCTCCTAAGTTTTTTTTCTGCCACACTATTAATGCACATTCATCACAAAGACTGATAACTTGTCTTACAATACACAAAACAGTGCCTATATAGAGGATAACCAGCATGTCACATAAGCTAGCTAGTGAAGACCTCTAACAGCAAGTCTGGATCACCATGCTAATACACTCCAGACACACAGCTCCACTGCTGTTAATCCCAACTGATCATAAAGCTAGTCTGAGTATAAAACAGGCTAGGCATTCACTAGTAACACAACACAGCTCATAGGCAAAAGTTAAGTTTAGGTATTCATGGTTTACTACATCACCCAGTTAATGCAAATGACAGTGACTTTCCAGTAACATTCTGCAAGTCACAATGGTTCTTTACCAAACTGTGCCACATCCTTTATAACCAAAGGGTCTCAAATCAGGAGTTTCATACACACAGTTTTAAGAAGAGAAGGAGTTCCCACTAGTAACTTATGTACCAACAGCATTTCCATTAGTGAACTAATATAGACTAGAGCAAGAGGAACTGCCTAGAAGAACTTAAAGAGTTTTGTCCCAGCAAGAGTCAAGAATTAGTCACCCAGCTACTAAACAAGCAGTGATGATCTAATGGAGCAGATGTCATTTGTCTTACCTTATCTACATTCGCTCTAGTTTTGGCAGAGGTTTCTACGTACTGCACACCCCATTCCTCTGCCTTACTTCTAGCCTCTTCTACAGGCACTTGTCTGCGCTCCTCCAAATCAGACTTGTTTCCCACTACCAGTAAAGGGATTTTATCCTCTTCAGCCTTCACACGCAGGATCTGTTCCCTAATGCATTAGGTATTCAAAATAAAAATACCTGTGTTAGTAGTAGCAACAAAACTCCCACACTTTACCAGGAGTGGATCAAATGATCTCCACATTACTACTGTTTACAACAGTAGAATTCCCAACAGTTGAACACACACTTTAAAATGATTCTAAGATTAACATACTAATGCCATGGGCTTTACACTACTGAAAGCCTCACACTTCCAGGAAGGCAGTTTTACCATTTAGTTAGTGAGTATTCAGGCTCTAATAAAGAAGAACAGTATGGCAGAAGAGCAACTGGCAACAGGAGTTGAATGAAGAAAATAGCACAAGTGCCATGTTTGCCAAGTTCCATCTTGGCATTCAGTCACCATCTTCAATTCACAGTCTGCATCACATCTCAGTATAGGTCTGGGCAATATCAAGGCTTTGCCAAGGCAGTGGGTTTGAAACAGCCTAAGTAGCTGGCAGAGATCATTCCTAATGGCTACCTAAACTTTACACAAAGGAGAGAGTTAGTAGTGCTGAACTAAAATGCTAGCAACCTTCTTCCTTCAGAGACTCCAAGAGGATATTCAAACTGTCATCATTAACCTAGCTATGCTTTGTCATTCTGGAGAACCTGTTGGCATCCAGGAAAGGAGACCAGAGTGATGTTGTATACCAGTCTCAGCCTGTGCTATTACTAGAGTGAAACACAGGTTGAAAACAGACTGACACATGCTGCTGTCCATCTAGGACGCTGAAAAAATACCAGTCCACAACTATTTTTAGATTGCTTCATTATGAACAAGAGCCAAACTAAGCAGAAGCATGGTGCTACACCCTCTCATGCCACTGAGCTACCACACTATTTCAGATGCCTGCATCTTCCCTCCACAAAATAACAATGTATGGAGAGCACATGAGACTCTAAAATAGCATTAACACTGAAGCAGACAATCTGCTGTTGCATTCAACTGCACCTTCACACATTTTCACATTACAGAGGCACTCAAAGCAAACACTGAATGCATAGCATCAGCAGGAGAGCTAGGCTTTAAAGACAAGCCCATAGTTTGTTCAGTATTGCACTTTTTCATGGGTTTAGAATTCTGTAAGTTAAAGGATCAATAATACCAATCTCCAGTTTGGCCTGGGATGCTGATGATTCATACTACCTATTCCCCACTCCCTCCTGGGCTAAGGAGCTGGTTCTTGCATGTCAGCCTAACTAAATATTCCATTTAACTAATTTCACTATTCGTTTCTGAAGCACTGAAAAGTAGGATCTCAAAGCTTTTAGGTCCTTCTTGCTCATCTTTAGGGCTAGAATTACTTTTGCATGGTTCTGTTGTGCTGGAATCTTGAACCAACACAGTTAACATAGTTACACAAGTCTGACAAAAAAACCCAAGCAACCAAGATCAACACTCCTACTCTTTATCATCCAAAGCCTTGGGTTTAACCTTATATTTCACTCAAGCACACAAGCTAAAACGCAGCCTGGAACCTTCCAAGTGTCTCATTTTCTTTCTGTTCTATGAGTGTTATCTGACTTTTTCCTCCATCTTACACTGGGAAGAGTCCTAGTACTCAGTTTTGCAGTCCTACAACAGTTCAGCTGTTGGCTCCTTTCAGTGCTCCAATTTTGCAAACTGAGCAAAATTGCTCTGCTTATGTGCCCCATGACTGTCAGCCTTCTGAACGTGACAAAGGCATAGTATTTTTACACCTCTTGAAGATTTTGTAGTCTTCTACTACTGTTGGAACAGTATAATATATTAAGTACCTGAACCAAAGCCCTGGAGTGCAAAGAGAGTTTTCCACAGCTTTAAGAAAAACCTAGAATTAGGTGTCTACCTTAGCTCCAACATTTGGATTGCCAAGTAGTATCTTTTAACCTTGTACCACTGAAGCAAAGGGGACATAAGCCAGACAAAGAACTTTTATTCTGGCAAACATAAGGAACTCCTAACACTTACTCTCTGTTTTGGGAGTTTTCCTTCAAGTTAGGCAGCTATCCTAGGCAATCTCCAGATCACTTTTTACATGAAGGCAACAGGTTATCATCAATAAGTGTTAAGACACTGGCCCTCAAGTACCTGGTTACATGAATTCTAAAACCAGAATGGTTCAAATCTTTTCCCCCCACACACACTACACAAACAGTTTATGCGCTCAGTCTGGTGCTGATTTTTACATCAGAACTGCTAATCCCAAGAACAAAAATGGAAGCACTTACTACTACTGCGCGTCTTTCTAGGAATACGTCTGCCTACAATAGTACAGCTTGGCTGACAACCCTTGTTTGGCACCAATCCATACCTGAGAGTGGAGGCTAATCCTTCCTTTCCTTAGAGCACCTGCTTCTAGCAGTAAGCAATACAGTGTCTGAAACCTGGCCAAAAGGCAGACTTAATTCCAGAAGTACTGCTCTAAGATAATTAAACTTCACATCCATGAAGACTGAAAATTGGCTTGAATATGCCTGTTTTAGGAGTCCAAGAATCTGTTACTTGCCTGAAGTTGCTGCTGGCATAATGTACTCATAAGTTGTAGGCATGAAGACAACTAGAGCCAGAGGCTGAACACTGTGGTTTAGGTTATCAGTTACTGAGAGCAAAATGGTCAGGTATCACTTTTACTGACCAAATGGTAATGGACAAAGGATAAAGAGCTTTTAAGTGGAGTTGTCAGAGCAACATAGGAACCAGATATTTTCCCCTGCCTGGGAGATATACTTACCGAAACTCTGCTGTTGCTGTGAAGGATTCATGCTCTGTTATTGAAAAGACTAGAAGAAACCCTTCCCCGCTGCGGAAATAGTTATCTCTGATAGCTGCATAATCCTCCTGTCCTGCTGTGTCCAGAATGTCTATCTGAACTTCTTCACCATCCAGAACTACTTTCTTTCTGTAGCTGTCAGCCTTAGTAGGTTCATAGTCTTCTACAAACTGAGGGTGATAAGAAAGGGATTAGTGTTTAGAATTACTGTCAAATGGTCTCAGTATTTGTCCATATCCCTTCTTTCACTTCAGTGGCATTTAAATTCCCCCAAACCTTCTTATAATTCAGCCAGCTACTAAGTTCCACAACTTTTTTTTTAGTTTTACTATAAAAAGCAAATTATTTAAGCACCTAATACATCAAAGAATTAGTTTGCCTAGTCAAGAGAAAGTTGCTACACAAAACTTTGTTCAGCAACTTTAGTACAATTTAAGAATAGAGACGCAGTCTAAGTTACTAACAACCTGCTGGCATTATCTAGATCTCCCACTGTAAGAAAATGCATTTGAATGTACTTCAGGCACATGTATCTGAAGCTTCAGCGGGTGCAGATGAGAGCATCTAGCTGCTGAACACGAAAATCTGTTCCATGATTATACAGACACATTTTTCAGTCCATTCAGTATTGATCAGATCCACAAAGCCATTGCCAGTTTAACTTGCAGTTTTGTGCTGATAGCACACATCCAACATAGGCTCCTTACCTCTCCACCTCCTCTCTCAGCCTCAGAGCACCTCAAGAGGCTGTGCCATGAGCCTGATTAAGCTGCCTGGACTTCATTAGTGACTACATCACTTGTTCAGACACCCACATCACTATAATGTGTGGATATCCCATAGACAAATACTAACTTTTGAACTACAGGATCATGTATTCCTTCACAAAACTAGTCAAGGCTGTCTAATCTACCTTTCTGTACATCAGCAGAAAGAAATTCATGCTATCAACACACCTACATCATCACCTGGCTCAGAACAAGCTAGAATGCTTACTTCAGCCTTCACTGACCTAAAAGCAATGGCAACAAAATTAAACTACAACTGGTAACAGCCTTGTACACTCAAGACAAGCACCTGCACGTTATGCATGGCTTCTGAAGACTGTTCTTGCACTAATAAGCATGAATTTTGTCACCTTCAATATCATAGAACTTAAGGGTTGGAATGGACCTTACAGATCATCTAGCCCCACCCCCCTGCCATGGGCAGGGACACCTCCTCACTAGATCAGGTTGCACAAGGCCTCATCCAGCCTGGCCTTGAACACTGCCAGGGTGGGGGCAGCCACCACATCCCTGGGCAACCTGTTCCAATGTCTCACCACCTTTAGAGTAAAAATCTTTTTTCTAATATCTAACCTAAACTTCCCCTCCTTCAGTTTTAATCCATTACCCCTTGTCCTACCATTGCAGTTCCTAATAAAGAGTCTCTTGTAGCCCCTTCAGATATGGAAAAGTTGCTATAAGGTCTCCATGCAGTCTTCTCCAGGTTGAACAGCCCCAACTCCCTCAGCCTTTCCTCATAGGGGAGATGCTCCAGTCCTCTTATCAACTTCGTGGCCTCCTCTGGACTTGCGCCAACAGTTGCATGTCTTTCTTGTGTTGAGGGCATCAGAACTGCATAGAGTATTCCAGGTGGGGTCTCACGAAAGCAGAGTAAAGGGGAAGACTCATCTCCTTTGACCTGCTGACCACACTCCTTTGGATGCAGCCCAGGATTCCATTGGCTTTCTGGGCTGCGAGCTCACACTGCAGCTCATGGTGAGCTTCTCATCTGGTCACTCCCAAGTCTTTCTCCTCATTGCTAGTCTCAATTACTTTCCCACCCAATCTGTAGCTGTGCCTGGGATTGCCATGGCCCAGTTGTAGGACCTTGCACTTCATTTTGTTGAACTTCATGAGGTTTGCATTGTTCCACCACTTAAGCCTGTCAAGGTCCCTCTGGATAGCACATCCCTTCCCTCCAGCTGTGACTGCCCCACACAGCTTGGTGTGGTCAGTGAACTTGCTGAGGGTGCACTCAATCCCACTGTCCATGTTGCTGACAAAGATGTTCCCAGAGGACATGCTTCCCAGATTCCTATGTTCTATTCCTACCAGCTGGGCCATCAGGTCTTTTGCTAATTACATTTAGTTCTCCTGTTGCACTAAAAAAAGTTTAGCAAACTGTATGAATTGGTGCTTTAGAGAAGGTGAACCCAAGCTACTTACCTCATCATACATAAATTGAAGGGTGAGTGCAGATTTGCCCACACCTCCACTGCCAACCATAATTACTTTGTGGAGGGCCAAAGAACTCTGGTTCTTGCTCTTGCTGGCAGCCATTGTCCTGCTTGCCACAGAAGAAGTCCCAGGCAACCAATTTAGATCTGCAGACAGAAGAAACACGGTCACCATCCATGACACTGGTGACACCATGGTAGCATGCAGGTAAAACATCTCACGCATGCTGAAAGACCAGATTAAAACCCTGGAAGCCTGAAGAATGGGCCACTTCAGCACACTGGCAACCAAACCACATCTGAGTAGGACAAGGCATTAGAACAAATATCTTCTACTTGTGACAACAGTACTAGTAATAAAAGTACCAAAGCTTTCTAACCAGCTACTCTTATTTGTAAACCCATCCTATATGACTACTGCCTAGAACAGTTTCCAAAGAAAAACCCACTTTCTCAAACAACATGAAATTAAGTGGGGTTTATTGTTCCTGTTGTAAGGTTTTACACCTTTCTAAAGTATTTCTTTAATGCTGAAATACAGTTTACTTTCAACCTGGAAGCAGAGCTATACCTTAGATCTCACAGGTATAAATCTGGCTTTTGATCTCCCCCTACGTATCCTAAGAAAACAGCAGAGATGCACAGTAAACTGTGTACTAAACTGTCAGGAACAAGTTGCAAAAGCTTCCAGTAGGAAGTCTTATGACATGGCATTAGCATTTATTTTACACTCTTCCTGCCGTTTGATGCTGCAAATCTAATTTGCTTTTGGAAAAAAAAAATAAAATCCTGCTTTACTGCAAGAAATTCTCAGTTCCTATTCTTCTCCTGATGTTGCAAAGCCATAAAGCAGTAAGCTTCAACAAACAAGCCCCAGCTAACAAGCCTTTGTTTGTGTGTTATGCAAGCCTAGTAATTAAGTGCTAGAGACTTCTTAAAAATAATACTGCTTGGTTTTTTGGGGTTTAGTTGTTGGGTTTTTTTAAAAGTAGCTGGATGCAGTACTTGTACCAGAAGCACGAGCAGCAGCTGCCACACTGATTAGCACAGAGCAGCATCTCTAAGGACAGCACACTGAGGACAGAAGCAGAAGTAGCTGATACAAAAAGATGTGTCAGGACTCCCACACGGAAAAACACCCAAATATGTGTATTTCAGACACATGATGGCTATAGGGTAGATGTTAGGACATACACTTGTGTCCTCAGAGCACAAGGAAGGGCCCCAGCTGTTCATATCCTGGTAGAGTGCTATGAGGAGACCAGCAGACCACTCAGGAAACACCACTGTAGAACATGGCTGTACCAGCCTTGATTTATAGCAGCACACTTTACTCCAGGAGCACAGAAGCAATGGGTCTACCAGGAGCATCAAATCTGCCTGAACACAATTACTCCAGAAATACAATGAAATTGCCACACAACACCAAGTTCTCCTGCCCAGAAATACAAGGCCTGCAGTAAAAGTTACTGAGTACTACATTGGAAAAAGCTTCAGAACCAGTTGCCCTAAACAAAAAAAAAGGAACTAGAGACTAAAGATCATTATCCTACAAACACACCAAAGGATTATTTAGCCTGGAAAGGGACCTTTGGAAGCTATCCAGTCTAAACGTCTCCCGTAAAGCAGTTTGCCCTAATCAAACTAGCGTATGTGCCCTGTGTTTTGAGACTGACAATTCCATGACCAGTCTGGACAAATTCCCTTGGGATACACCGATGGTGACGAATTTTTCCTCCTTGTCATGACTTGGTGTTCTGAAAAGCAACAAATCAAACTAAGTTCTCATTGAACTACTACACACAAGAACAAACATGCCAACAATCAAGAAGCGCCCTCAGGACAGCATTTTCAAGCATCTGAGCAGCAGTACTTTTCCACACAGACTTTTTTTACTCACACCTGCTTGCTACATATATTTAGTAAAGCCATGAAATTAATCATCTTTAAGTGTTCATTCTGGGATAAACACTGGTAAGTGAAGACAGGTATTTTCCTCTGGTAATCTTCTGTATTATGTTATACATCAGCTCCCTCAGCCAAGGACACTCCTTAGCACAGAAATGGCATCTGATGACTCCTGCTTCCCTGTAAGTTCTCCCTGTACAGCATAAACACACATTTGTTGGGGACAGTAAATTCAGCCACTGCCCCAGATACTCTAAACCAGAAGAGGATTACAAGATTGATTTTTAATTCTTAGTCACCAGAGAGGCAAGAGAGGAAGAAAACAAAGCTCCCTGCCAGGGGAGTGTGGAAAAACTGGGAGAAAACAAAACAGGTAGCATCTGAACTTCAGAAGCTGTTGCTGAAAGGCTTGTTTTGCTTATGGTGTGCACGTGGTCTACACGTGGTAAACCAGAATTCAGCCTGCTTGGACGTAAGACACCCAAGGCATAAGAGCTACACATTGACCACACAATAAGACAGTTTGGGGACTTTAAATGTTCTAGAAATAGCACAGCTTGCTCTTAATAAGTTGTAGAGAATTCTGTTTTGTCCTAGTTCAAGAGTAGTTTGGCTTTGACAGTAGCAGCTAAGTTGCCTTCTGGAGAAGTTAAGTGGTTATTAGCTCCTTTTCAGTGTAATTGTGACTGGTTTTAACCTGTGAGTATTCCTTTAACCAGCATCCTAACATTGTTGTAAATGTTGTGTTATCTAACACAAAGCTTTCAAGTTAAATACTTTTTCTGGCATCACAAACTTAAGAGCATGTAATAGGCAGCAGCACTAAATCCACTGTGCGATGCCAGGGCAGTAAAGTGATTATTTACTAATGGCCAAGAGAAAAGACCAAATTCTTCCTCCTATCAATACAAATACCACATCATTACCTGGTCATTTTAAAGGAACAGCTGCCTTTTAGGTCAGATATTAACAAACTTGATTCAGTAGAAGCTCACCATAGAGGTGAGCGGAGAGAATATTTAAAACCTTCCTTCTCCATCCCACCTCAACACTGGCCAGTAGAAACTGCAAGGTCAGCATTATACTATTACCTGACTTGTAGTCAAAGTCTAATATATAACAAAACCCAACCAACAGCATACAAATTTACAGTTTGACTGCATCTAAAGCTAGCTCAGCTCTCAATGGCCAAGGTACTTGATCTTCCCTGCAGGACTGTTTCAAGTGCCACTTGAATATTTCAGAGTGTCAAGACTACATGAACCCTCTGAACACAGGAGTAGGCTCACAACACAGCCCCTACGTTGTACACACTCAGTGAGGTCCCAGAAGCTTCACACAAAGCTGCTCTTCTTTGGTGGCACCAGAGACAGCATGCTCCACCCCCTACCCCCCCCACAGCTAGGCAGTACAGAAGCAATTACAGACTACAAGGCAAGGCTGAGGCAGTGTGACACAGGACTGACACAGGCAGCATCAGTGCAGAAGTACCAGTGCTTACAAAACAACAGGCTAACAGCACATCACTGGTTCAGGACAGGGCAGGGTGAGATTTTAATGGGACTACTCTAACAAAACAAGAGAAGGCACTGAAGCCAACTGTTTGCTTATTTGTATTTCCACCTCTGCAGCCCAAGAAACCGTTTACATACCATAGTTCAAAGCTCACATCTTATAGTTCCTTGAGGTTAAAAATAAATAGTTTTTTAAAAAAATCTATTAACACAAGTGAAAGCTCTCTCCTCAGTCATCTCTAAGTAGGCAAGACTGATTTTTCTTCCTATTCTGCAGATTAAGCATCCTTGAGGCAGTCAAGACACTGACATTAACTCATCTGTTCACAGAAAATCAAGTCCTGGGAAATCCAACCACCTCTCAAAAAAGCAGCACTGTCTAGTAGAACCTGTGATGCCTGTAGTTGTTTTTAAAACATTACTGAAATTCCTTCAGTTTAAGGGAATGTAAATTTAAGGCGGAGTCTTAATACATCTGCTGAAGAGCTCACTGAGTAAGTGTCCAGACAAGACACCTAACACTGTGGTAAGTATCCCTCCTCTCCCATATTGCTCTTTACTTGTTGTTTGGGTACAGTTCACTTTCCAGCAAGATTTACCCTCCTCTGACAGGAAGGGAAGCAATCCAGTCAGTCAGTCTGTTTAATTTCCATCTGTCATTTTACCCTCAGGTTTAATGACACCATGTTGAACTTCATATGCTAAGTGTCACAAGCTGTAAAAATAACCACCTTCTGAAAGTTTGCTGGGGTTTTTTAGCTGTAGGTGAGGTGGGAGGGGAGGGGGATGACATGGTTTATTCTGCTTACAGTTCATCCTGCTTTGAAATACAGACCCCATGTCAAAATAAACTTCTCTAAGCAGTCTTTCATCTTTAAAGAATCTTTTAAGAAATTAGTAGTAATTACCTGCTTCATCTGTTTTAAAAGATAAGGATTAAGCCACTGACTTGACAACACTGCACTTATTTTAGAAGAGGCAACACAAAGCCCTATGCGCAATAGGAGTTTCGTGATGCTAGTGAAAGATGCAATTCAGACCAAGAAAGGAAGGTTATACCAGCCACTGAAGCACAGCAAGACTTACAAATCAAACCCCAGGAGTTACTAAAAAGTTGTTTTGATTTAGACTTTTGAAGATCTGTAGTTGGCCACAGGACTAATCAAACCATGCCACCTTCAATGTAAGGGATCTACCCCTAAGCTCACCAACTATTTCAACCTTCCCTTGTCTTATCTGTTTAGATTACAACTTCTCCAGGTTAACAAAGGTCTCCTGCACAAGGTCGTGTCATTCTTGGCTGGTCCCTCAAAACTAAGTGCTTCAAGGCAATTGTTTATAAACATCTTACTAAACTCCTTTTAAACTGCCTTTTCTCCACCCTCTCCTCAGCCTAAACAGTTAAACTGCTCAGAACACAGTTTACAAACAGCACTGGTTTACCTAACACCAAGATTCAAACGCTATTACTGAATAACTACATGTATTTCAACCCACACTGTACTTTTACATCCCTTTTTACTTCATGTGCATTAAGGCTCCACAGTTGTAAGTCACTTAAGGGAAAAAGTACTTGTCACTTCACAAAAAAGGAACTCATTTTGCTACAGCCCATACAAATACACAGGGGAAAAAAAACAACCATGAGAAGCTGCACTACGTGTTTTCCAGTAAATATTCTGTTACTACAATAAAAAATTCCAGACCCTCCAAGGGCTTTAATGGGA